AATTCAAAGTTTTTGATGATTACTTCCTAGTTCTTTTTCTCCATCATTATCACCATTGTTATCATGTCACCACTGTTAATATAATTCCTTTCTGTTTTCACTTACTAAGTCAGTCGGTGAATTCTGTGGAGGTCAGTTCTCAGAGCAAGAGAGAGGGAGGAAGAATGAATGAATGAATGAATGAATGAATGAATGAATGAATGATGCTGGTTCATGGAGGGAAGATAAGAGGCTGCAGACTGACAGGGAAAGCCTCACATGAAGAACAGGGTCCCAAAGTAAAGGGATCATTGTTTTCATCCTGAGAATCATTTAAAAACATGAACAGAGTCTTTCTTCTTTTCCCCCTCCCCTCTCCTTCCTCTTTCACCTTTTCTTCCTCTATTAATTAGGAGGAGTACATCATTTCTTTCAGTATCTCACAGTATCCAATGATTACTTATCTCTTGTCATTTGTTTTCTTCTATGCATTTTTTTACCTTGCCTTGTTCCAAAAAAGATATAAGGTAACTTTAAAAATACATAATGCAAAACTTTAAAAACAGTTAAAAGAAGAAATTGATGCAGAAGGGACAAAGACAAAGCCATCTCAATGAAAAAATAAAATTCAAATTGACTCTGTGATCCATAGGTTCATAAAATTATAACCAACCAGTTGCCAAAGAAAAGCACAGCTGCTCTTGGGACAGAGACGGCCCAGGCCCTTATTAGATAAGCGATGGGAAGCAGTAAGTTAGACGTTACAGTTACTGCACAAGAACCTGGGCTACTGGTGGCTCAGTGAAGTGAAAAAGAAGGAGATATTAGGTGACTTGGCCAGTAGAAATCCCTTCCCCATCATAAAGTTAATGCCCCAGAAAGTTGCCACTCTCTTTGCCCCTGACAATCAGCCCTTTCTGGTGCAGCCTTTGGAATGTAGCTCTTGACTTGGGTCAGCCTGGGGAGGGAGAGATTGATTACCTAGAAAGACCAAGGGAAATGGGGCCATTGTAAAACCATCAGGAGATTCAACTTGCCTGTTGCTAGGATATACTTATATTTTCAACACCTGAATTAAACCGTAGATGCCCTATTTTATGCCTTCTAAGATTAGTTTTTAATACTTATCTCATGCCAGGAACTCTTCTAAGTAATCGATAGGTATGACACTAAATCTCTGCAATCACCCTACTAGACAAGTACTATTTTACAAGTGAGGAATTTGAGGAGGTGAGAAAAGTCAATAGACTCTCCCACCACCATACATCCAATTTAGAACTAAACCAATATTCAACCCAGGGGGCCTGGCTCTGGAACTTAAGCTTTTAGTAGCTAATCTGCAATGCTTTTGCAAATCAAGTGCTTTGCAAATCTGTCTCCTAGACTCTGTATACATGTTGATGGGTGTAATGCAATGGCTTCTCAGCAGTCAAGAGCTGTGTGGAAATATGCCTTCTTGGCAGCATTTGATACCACTGGCACACAGTGTTCACCAGCAAATATTTGCTGAATGGGATGGACTTGCCTTGCTTCTGGAAACCCCCAGTCATTTTGGCTCCTCTAATACCATACGCTTTCTCTGGCTCCTCCTTTTCAATCTTCTTTTCTCCTGCCAGTCCCTTATGAAAGCATTCTTTATTGTTGCTTCCCAGGCTCACTTCTTTTCTCCCGGACCCACCATCGTTGATATTTTCAGCTGCTCCAGTTATTGCCTACATGCTGATGTCTCACAAATATGTGCTATTTGCATCCCAGTTTCACTCCTAAGAGTCAAATTCATATGGTCAACTCTCTGCTGGAATTCAGCATCTCATTTGCACTCAAAATCAATCCTTCCAAAATTTAATTCATCTTCATTCCCCTGGCCACATCCAACATTGCCTTCTCCTCTGTTTATTTTCTCAATTAATAATACCATGATCTAAAAAGCTGCCCAAGCCAGAAAACTGGGAATTCTTTTGACTTGCTCTCTCTTCCTTACTTCCAATATCCAATCATTCACTAAGCCCTGTTGAGTCCACATTTTAAATCTGTGCACATTTCTTCATCCCCACAGCCTTCACTGATAGTCCAGGCCACCACTGCCCTGCCCTTGGGCTATAGCATCTTAGAAGGACCACTTGAATGTCATTTTCTCCATGGGGTCTTTGTGATATAGCTCCTTCTTCCTTCTTTATCCTCATCCGTTTCCTTTGCACAAGTGGCTCCAATATTTTGAACTGACTTCAGTTTTCTCCCGCCTTTTCTGTTCACACTGCTCAGAGAGGTCTTCTCCTTGATTCTCCTCTTTCGTTCCCTACTCCCAAATTGTCTTACTAATCCCTGTCATTTTTCAGGACTATTTGATATGTCACTGCTTCTGGAAAGTCATCTTTGAGCTCACTTGTCTCGGTTATATTTCTCTCCTCTGGAATCCCACAGTACACTGTATATTCTAGTATTTTCTACCATACATATAGCACTTACTACCTTGAACTGCAATTGTGTATTTACTGTTTGCAAAGGAAGGGAAATAAACTGCAGTAACAACAAATTCCAAAATTTTATTTTGTTTATTTATACTTGATGTAGTATAAGTCCATTTACCTTTAAGGAAAGAGCCCATGACAGGCCAAGCCAGGGACTGGATGCTGTGTTCCACAGTCATTCAAGAAACCAGGCTGCTGGCAGCTCTGTCACCTTTAATTTGTGACTTCTAAGTCTCCCTGCATCATAAAATCTAGATAGTACATCAGGAAAGATCATGGAAGATCATACATGGGAGACTTTATAGGCCAGGCCTTGAAATGATGACCATCACTCCCACTCACATTCCTTTGGAGTCAGTTCAAGATGTTGGAGGCACTGTGTGCAAAGTAAAGGGATGAGGATAAAGAAGGAAGCCGGAGCTCTATTCCAAAGACCCCATGGAGGGAATGACATTCAAGTGGTCCTTCTAAGATGCTTTAGCCCCAGGGTAGGTCAGTGGTGGCCTGGACTATACAGTGAAGGCTGTGGGGATGAAGAGATGGGCACAGATTTAAAATGTGGACTCAGTACATGACCACACAGGAAACTAGGAAATGTACTTCATTTTATCCGTACCAGAAAGAAGAGGAAGGGTTTTTTGATCAGCTGGTAGTCTGCCACACTGACCTTTATTCTCGCTACATTGTGTAGTCCATGAGGGCAGGGGCTAAATTTCTCTTTCTCTTCACTTCATTCCTATTCTAGTATACACTGGGCACTCGATAAGTACTTGCTGGATAAATGGAGCTATTCATATCCAGTCTTTAAAACATTTTTTCTGCCCATCCTGATGCTGGCATCATCTGAGGCAGGTTCTAATACATCTCTCCAAATGTGACTGGATTCTTGGAGCTGAAGTGTACTATATATTTGGTGTTCATTGGTAGGCTGTGTTGCAAACAATTGTTATTAGTCATCTCTATATGTGAACTACTTATAGATTCATAAACCAGAGCACCAATTTATTTATTTATCCTACATATATATATTTTTTTTTTTTCAGAAATTTGATTACCCATGTTTTCTATTTAAGGCATGCCCTTTCCCAGAATCAAGCTACCTGGAAAGCTGGGATGCCATTCACTACTGTTTAAAGCTTGAGGGTGAATGAGCCTGCTAGCTGTCATAATGTAAGGATATTGTTGAGAATATTGTGTATATTATATAGTATTATTTTAAAAAGACGGGGGAAATTTCTTTTTAATCACAATAAAAGGAATAGGGTGTTTCTCTTGAAAATTGACTGTTTTTTATCTTATGATATTCATAAATTGCAAAACATATACTCTTAATTTCTTGGCATTATTACTAGAAAGTTCTGACAAAATGTGCAGCCCACATATACTAAAAGTACATGACATCAAGAAGTGCATTTCTTGTGCAATATTAACCCCACTCAGGTTTCAATGGGACTCAACATACTTCTTCTACCTATATTTTTGCCCATAGTTTTTCTTTTTATCCACTTCTTTTATCTTCTTGCATTGCATATTTATGTAAGCTTCCTTAAATATGTTTTAGAACAAAGGAGCAATACACATAAATAAAATATATTAAAAATTTGCCTGCCCAAGAGACATAAGCATGTATTCAGTGGAGTGTGGTTGGGTATTTTTCTTCTTTAATCTACCTTGCTTCATCCCCAGAGATATTTTTAAATGAATATGAAATAGTCTTTCATTGTGGGAGAAAAAGAGGAAGGAGGAAAATGAAAAATGATGGATTATAAAGATGGAGATAACTCTGAAAGCTAAGGATTGACATAAATACAAAACCGTATTTATTCTGTGAAAATGTTACATACAGTTGTGAAAACTCACTACAAGGTAAGTTCCATGAGGGTGAGGACCTTTGTATGTATAATAGAGTTGGGCACACAGTAGACACTGAAACAATATACAGTAAAACCTTGGATTGTGAGTAACTTGGTTTGTGAGTGGTGGTCTGCAAGATGAGCAAACATTTCTAATACATTTTAACTTGGTAAACGAGTGATGTCTTTTTTTTTTTCTTTAGCTGAGCCATCCTGCCACCTGTTGGCAGCTCAGCGGCAGCTCAGCTTGTGCTGTGAATCAAACTGGGGACCCTGTTGCTCAGAACCCACACTCTTGAGCGAGCTCTTAACCGACTGAGCCACTCGGCCGGCCCACGAGCGATATCTTGCAGTAAGAGTAGTTTGTTTCCAGAACGAATTATGCTCACAAACCAAAATATTACTATATATTGAAAATGTGAATGTAATTGAAAATATGAATGTAACACACTTTGCATTAGGAGAACTGGTTAACAGCAAATAAATGATGTTGAATATTGGGTATGGAACCACAAACCTATACCTTTTAGACTCAGTTTCATAATTTATAAAAATGAAGCCATTATATTATGTATTCACTAAGATTCTTTCCACCCTAAAAAATCCCATGCTCTGCATGCCACCCTTTTAATTGTGGTGGCAGAGTAAACATGTGAATGTTAGCGCCTATAACAACTTGTGAATTTTGTTTTCAAAATAGGATATCCAGCTACATCTTCAACAACCCTTGTAGATACGAGTACATCAACTCCAAACTCCACCCCTCAAAGTGAGTATAGCAAGACTTTCCACATATGATTCAAAAGAGCAGACACACTCACAAGTTTTACAACAGCCACAATAATGTTGAGGTTTGGGCAAAAGGCTGTATTTTTTCATTTGATGCTGATGTTTTGGTTTTGAGTTACTCTGTTGTACATGTAATCTGGTTACTATATATTGATATGACAATCACTATAATCTTAAAAATAAGGGCTAGCGATTTGTTATTATACTATATCTTTCATTTGTCATGGGATTTTAAGGTAATATTTAAGCAATCACGACAATACTCTCAGTGATCTGAGCTGGTGACAAGAACAGAAAATGAAAGAAAATCAGTGACACGTCGGCATTAACCATAAACTGACTGCAGAGCTTTTGCTTAATATGCCAGCTAGTGTTCCTACATAAGGAAGCACATTTTCAATTTCATATTTCCCCTAAGTCCCATAGATTAAAAATTCAGCACATCAAAGCAAAGTTAAATCATAGCTTTATAAAAAGGTTGGATTCTGAAAAATTTGTCTTACAGCCAGCAATTCTAATGTGACTACCCGAGGCTTCAACTACTCCTGGACCTCCAGTGTGGAAGACACCAAAAACTGTAAGAATAACTATGCGTCCCTAGAGTCCTCTGGGCGTCATTCATTCATCCATCACACATATTGAATAACTTTTATGTGTTTTGTTCATAATATTAACAAATGTTTACAAAGCACCTACCATGTTTAAAGCATTGATGTTGGAGCTGGGCGTATGTCTGCGAATAAGCATATCTAAGTTCCAAATTCTGGTGGAAGAAAGACAAACAAATAGTGATAAGTGAGAAGGAAAAAATAAAGCAGTGAAGGAAGACAATGAGAATCAACGGTGAGGGTGGGTTGCCATTTTAAATGGAGTAGTCTTGAAATCCTTACTGAGGAAGATGACATCTTAGTACAGATATAACTAATGGAGGAGAAAGAGCAAGCTTTGAGTATATCTGGGGAAAGAGCAGCCTAGCAGAATATACATATCCCTAATAAAATGAAAGAGGGAGCCCAATGTAAGACACAGAAATGGTTTATTACTCTTAGTCTGGCCAACTACGAGCCGCAGCATCTGCTGCCGCTTTAGCAGGTACTGACAGGGGCTGAAGAGGAAATATGCTGTCTCTTAGTCGTATTAAGACAAAAATCAGTGTTGTGGTGTCATAGCAAGTGATGTGACTGAAGCAAAGAGAAGTGAAGACCCCGGATGCCACAGGGGCAGAGCTCTGAATTTAACTACTAGGCCCGTTGCCATGATAAATTAAATATATATGTTTTCATTTGGAAAGCATTTAAGTTATACATTTAAAACCTCTCAAAGTCTTTTGTACCCACTGGCTTAGTCATCTCACTGCTAGAAACTTGTCCTTAGGAAATAAATCAAAGAGAGGCAAGGAACATGTATACTGTTGCTCTTTGTGGCATTATTTATTTCATCTCTTTTATGGGCATCATGTTCTCAGATTTGGGCTTATCATAATCTTTAATTCATGATACACTTTCACCATTAGTCTGTGCATGACCCTCTATAATTTAATGTAGCATTTTTTTTTAATAAAGTTGACCCTTGATTGACACAGGTTTGAACTTGTGCGGGTCTACTTATATGTGGAATTTTTTTTTCAATAAATACGTACTGTACCATAAATGTATTTCTCTTCCTTATGATTTGCTTAATAACATTTTCTTTTCTCTAGCTTACTTTATTACAAGAATACAGTATATATTAATAATACATATAACAGACAAAATATGTGTTAATTAACTATTTGTTATCAGTAAGGCTTCTGGTCAATAATAGGCTATTAGTAGTTGTTTTTGAGGAATTAAAAGTTATATGTGGATTTTCAACTGCATGGAGGTTCAATGCCCCTAACCCTCATGTTGTTCAAGTGTCAACTGTAATAGACACCTGTGAACTCAGTGTCTAAATACAAGACTAGAAGGGCAGTATCAGAAGAGAGAACCCACAGAGATCCATACATAAGTGAAACTTAAGTGTAGGTCAAAGATGGCATGGCAGATGACTGTGAAAAGAAGAAACTGTTCAGCAAACACTGATTATTTATAAGAAAAAAAAAACATGAAAAAGTACCCCTACCATGCACATTACACAAAAATCAATTCTATATATTTTAAGTTCTTTATGTCAAAAGCAAAACATTAAAATCTGTAATAAAATAAATGTGAACCTCTTCCTGGCTTTGGGATAGGAAGGGCTCAAAGAAGAGACATAAAGCACAAACCATAAAAAAGATTGAAAAAAATAAAATAAAATAAAATAAAATTAAGAAAAATGTTTTTCATCAAAATACACCTTAAAGAAAGTCAAAGAGGAAGGCTATAATCTGGGAGAAGATATTTGTCACATAGGTAACTGGAAAATAATCAGGAATATATAATTGACAAATGATCAAACTTTATACCAAGAGTATAGAAAGAATGCCTACAAATCAATAAAATAAAGAAAAAGCAATAGAAAATGAGCAAACAGGCATATCACAAATCATGAAACAAGTGGCTAGAGAACATCTAAAGAGATGCTCAGCCTCTCTAGTAATCAGAGAATGCAAATGAAGACTAAAATCAGATAACTATTTTGCAACCAATCGATTGGTAAAAATTAAAAAGTCTGGAATTGCCAAGTGTTATATGGAATGCAGAGCAATTTAAGTTGAGCAATTTAAGTTCTTATATGTTGCTGGTGACGGTACATTGGTACCATCAGTTTCCATCACTTCAGCATTATGTTTTAAAGCTGCACATTTTCATACCCTGCAATCCTACAATTCTACTCCTAGATATATACCCAGCTCATGCACACAAAATATGAGTATGTATGTCCAGTAGATATGGACACAAATGTCAGAGGGAAAACACTATTCATAATAACAAAAATTATAAATATCTAAAAGAGCATAGCCAGGAGAATAGATAAATAAATTGTAGCATAATCATATAATAAAATATCATAAAGCAATGAAAAATGAGTAAATGACTGCCACATACAACACCATAAAGGAATCTTAAAAATATTATGTTCAGTCAAAAGAGTAAATGACAGGTGACAATATGTGGAATGATATTTTTAAATAAAAGTTAAAAGCAAGTACTATAACCAAGCACTATATGGTTTAGCCATAATATGTGATAAAAATTTTAAAACTATCTAAGTAAGTAAATAATAGACACAATATTCAGAACAGCATTTGCTTTGGAATGGGCATATCAGGGCTGGGACAGAGTTAGACATTTATAATGTTATTTATCAATATAATAACCAAAAAAATCTGTGTGTATAAATGAGGATGAGCGGGTGTTTAGGAAGACTATGTCCAATAATAAGATATTGTGGAATAAGATGAGATACTAACTCAATGAAATACTAGAAGCCAATTAAAACAAAAGCCATAATGTACTAAGCTAGCCAGTATATCTTATTATATAGACAAGGATACAAGCTGGAAAATTTTTACCAATCAGATATAAATTGAGAATAAAGGTATTAGACTGATGATGAAAGTTTATACTTAATAGACTAACATTTACTCTATATGGTGCTAACATAAAATTGAGTTGTTTGCAATTAACTATGCTGAAACTCTACCTACACTAATTTGTCATCCTTTATTATTGATACTATATGCAAATAAGTTTCATGAAATTTGTTTGTTTATTTGTTTGTTTGTATGTTTGCTTACCTGTGTCCCCAGTGCCTAAGATAATGCCTGGCATATGTAATCATTAGTGCTTAACAAATATTATTAAACAGGTAAATGAAATAATACTTGTTGGTTATACAGGGGAAATTATGTAGCACTGGGGATAAAAGTTTATTGGACAATATTATAGGAAAAAACTGAACTCCAACTTAAATTATATATATATATGTGAATGTATGTATCTACTGCTCTGTGTGTGTGTGTGTGTGTATTAATTCTCAGCATAACACTTGTTGTCTGATGTTTTTCTTTATTTTATTTATTTGATTGTCTATCGAAATTATACTAGGATGTAATATACACAAAAACAGGGACCTAAACTTTTTTTTGTCTTGTTCACTATAATATTCTGTCTGTAGCAATGGCAGGTATACAATAGGTGCTCAGCAAATGTTTCTTGAATAATTGAAAGGATATGTGTACATATGGGTAAGGACAAGATAGAAAACACACACAGAGAAAAGAAATCATCTGCTTAATTAGAATTTTTGAACTTTTTATTTGCTTGCTTTATTTAAATTGTTATTACAATACTATGTGTGCCAAGAATAAAAAAGAATTTTTTTTCATTCCATGCATCACATCAATATGAGGCATACAAGCCATCCAAGGTATTTTTGTCTCAGAAACTAAAAGGGTCTTGTTGAAAGTGCTTTATAATTTACACAAGCATGCTCTTGGTTTTTTAAATATATTTTATAATGAAATGAACTACTGCAATCTTTCACATTTTCTGTCTTTCCCCAGTTGAAAACTTAATTTATCCTCACATATCTTTTTATCATTCTTACCATAAAAATAGCCTTAGAAACTGTGAAATATAGAAAGGGACTTCAAAACCTAACAAGCAATTTTTTCTGGCAGTGAAAACCCACATTCTTACTTATTCAAGAATAATATCTTATTAACTAATTGTCATTTTTTGTCCATAAACTTAGAGAAAAATTTCCTGCAGGAAGTTGTTCTATTTATGATCATTGACAAAAACACATTAAGCTCCAACAAGTGAATATTGATTGCTCACTCCCAACTTGTTTTTGAAACATGTTTCTACTAGTTGGATTGGTCTGTAATGTGACATCCAGTATTAGATGATGTGTTTGGCAAGACTCATGACAGGCATTGGTAATGGAATTTTTTTTTCCTTCCAGGATGTTTATTTCAGTAGATTTATGAAATGTTCAGAGGCATGCAAAGAAGAACAATGGATACATTTCTGGTGAAAAAGGCCCACTAGCAATGTTTCTATGGCCCTTGCTATTTGTGAACAAATTCTATGGAATATTTGCTTATATATGTATTTTCTGCAGCTTGCATACATTGGGATGTCACTAGAAGGTTCTGAGTGCATTGCATTTACACTAAATTTATAAGTATATGTTTTTGTTTTTGTTCTCTATTTACATTTCTGATTTATTCAGTTTTTTAGAATCCACGTATAAGTGAGATCATATGGTATTTGTCTTTCTCTGACTGACTTATTTCACTTAGCATAATGTTCTCTAGTTCCATCCATATTGTTGTAAATGGTACTATTTCCTTCTTCTTTATAGCTGAGTAATGCTCCATTGTGTGCATGTACCATAGTTTCTTCATCCAGTCATCTACCAATAGGCATACTGGTTGTTTCCAAGTGTTAGATATTGTGAATAGTGCTGCAATGAACATAGTGGTGCATATATTTTTTCGAATTAATGTCTTGGGTTTTCCTGGATAAATACCTAAGAGTGGAATTGCTGGGTCATAAGGTAGTTCCATTTCCAGTTTTTTGAGATACCTCCATACTGATTTCCATAGTGGTTTCACCAATCTGCAGTCCCACCAAAAGTGCACCAGGGTTCTCTTTTCCCCAC